TTACAACAGATGGCGATAGTGGCGCTCCACAATATCGGCAGCGTGCGGGGTTATGTTGGCTAACTCTCTCTCTCTCTCTCTCTCTCTCTCTCTCTCTCTCTCTCTCTCTTCACACGCACACGCACACACACACACACTCTCTCATTCTCACTCACTCACTCACTGTTCGTCTTGTGTACTTATTTAGTACATTCATGATCGGCAGCGTGCGGGGTTATGTTGGCTAACTCTCTCTCTCTCTCTCTCTCTCTCTCTCTCTCTCTCTCTCTTTCTCACACACACACATGTCTAATTAATAATGAATTTCTAATTATATTAAACATATCAAAATAAAGACATACATGTATTTATCAAATGAATAAAATTATTGAATACAGACTTAAAAAATTTATTAAACATAAACTTAAAAAATTAATTAATTAAACATATTCCAAATTTAGAAAAAATAAACTTTATTTATATATGCAACAGCTTTTTAAACTAAATTTTTAAATTCTATTTTATATTAGACAATTATCTCAATCAACATCTACGTCCACATTAGCTGCACTGCAGACTACCTCTACAGCCACATTATCTGCTCCGCGGATATAGCGTTATGCCAATACGATACATTACATGTACTTACTTACTTGCCTTTACTGTACCAACTCTTGTTCTTTCCACGTAATCATGTTTTTACAGTTATCGTTTGCTGTATATCTTCCAGCAAACTTTATTTCGTGTGAAGTGTATTTAATTAATTAAATCTCTGCGAAAGATTGAGAAGATGAAGGGATAATTCAAACTATGAAGACATGGTTACATGGAAAAGACAAGAGTTGATACAATAATAAAGACATACATGTATTTGTATCCTGCTGGCATAAGGTTATAGAAGTTGATTGAGATTGAAAAATAATAATGAAAATAATAAAAAAAATAAAGACACATGTATTTGTATCGTGCTGGCATAAAGTTATAAAAGTTGATTGAGATTGAAAAATAATAATAAAAATAATTAAAAAAAGGAAATATTCAATCATCATTTAAAAGCATATTTGAAATCTGTAGAATAAACAGTTTTTGCAAAAAATGTGGAGCATTAGAGCTCTAGTAAGTCTAAAAATAAATGTAAACATCAATTAATAATAACTGATGTTATATATATATTATATATATAAACCAATTTGTTGCAATATTCACTATAAAAGGTTGTAAGGGTAAGATGGCTAAAAGTGAATAATTTAAAAGATAGTTAACATAATTTTACATAAACTGAAATATTTCATAGAATAAAATATTTGTAATATTTCGAAGTTTATGTAAGATTATGTATACATAAAAATTATACCTTTACAACTTTTTATAGTAAATATTGCGAGGAATCGATTTATATGAGAAAAATTAAGGTAATTCTATTTTGAAAATATAAGTGACCTTTAAATAACCTTGAAAATCGCCGTTTAGGAAAAAGTCTGTGTCAACTTTTTCTTTTTCGAAATCCTGCAACTTTTATCTAAATTTAATAGAAAATGTATAAAAAATGCTCGACATTAGTACACACACACACACACACACACATATGGGTAAATTTATATAAATAGGGTGCTTTAGGAGGAATGATCAGGATTCTAGGATATGATTGTACACATCATTTTAAGCAAAGAAGTTTAGATAAACATGTTTAATAATTGTTCTATTCCGGTCATAAAAATATACAAAAATGAATGATATAATCTCTAAAAACTCACCTTTAAAAAAAGGTAAAAAAAGGCGACCAGTTAAGGGCACGCCATTAACAAAAATTATCCATTGCAAACCCATGTAGAATCCTATCCTATTGCAAACCCATGTAGAATCCTATAAAAAATTAATCATTGCAAACCCATGTAGAATCCTAGGCAAAATTAACCATTGCAAACTCATGTAGAATTGTATTAAAAATGATCCATTGCAAACTTATGTAGAATCCTACATTGCAAACCCATGTACAATAGAATTGTATGAAAAATTATCGATTATAAATTCATGTACAATCGTAACAAAAGTAATGAAATAAAAAAAAATTGCGCCAAGTGAAAGTAGAAACTTGTACCAGTGGAAAATTAAAGTTGCAGACATATATAGAGTCGTATAATGAATCAGTAAAAATTTAAATTTGCAAATGTAGAATCGTACCATAAAAAAACTTATCTTTTAAAAAAAAAGATAAACAAGATGCCAAGTCCATGCGCCATGTAAAAAAGAAATAAAAAAATTTTAGTTAAAAAAACTGGGAGCGCTGCTAAATAATATTCTAACAATATTAAAATTAAATTGTTACTTTTAAACTCATTACAGTTAAAATATGTTTTGTGTTTAAATTAATTAATGTTACTTTAAGGTGCATTGTAATTTTGAAACTTAGCAGCGCGCCCAGTTTTTTTAACTAAAATTTTTTTATTTCTTTTTACATGGCGCATGGACTTGGCATCTTGTTTATCTTTTTTTTTAAAAGATAAGTTTTTTTATGGTACGATTCTACATTTGCAAATTTAAATTTTTACTGATTCATTATACGACTCTATATATGTCTGCAACTTTAATTTTCCACTGGTACAAGTTTCTACTTTCACTTGGCGCAATTTTTTTTTTATTTCATTACTTTTGTTACGATTGTACATGAATTTATAATCGATAATTTTTCATACAATTCTATTGTACATGGGTTTGCAATGTAGGATTCTACATAAGTTTGCAATGGATCATTTTTAATACAATTCTACATGAGTTTGCAATGGTTAATTTTGCCTAGGATTCTACATGGGTTTGCAATGATTAATTTTTTATAGGATTCTACATGGGTTTGCAATAGGATAGGATTCTACATGGGTTTGCAATGGATAATTTTTGTTAATGGCGTGCCCTTAACTGGTCGCCTTTTTTTACCTTTTTTTAAAGGTGAGTTTTTAGAGATTTAAATTAGACGCGAATCTTTAAAAATATCTAAATTGCAAAAACGTATTTATTGCAACACAAAAGAATACGATTTTTTAAAAATATGATGCTTTTCTGCTTTAATGCTATTCCGTATTCATCTTTCTTCTTCTATCTTAAAGGCTCATAGATCGAATAGAAGTATTGTGCTTCCCTTCCCATTTTCGTGGTTTCTTTGATTCATATAGTCACGTGACAACTTTATGGTGGGAGAAAGGATAAAAAAGTCTCGATTCTGTAGCTAGTATGCGGTTTCAGGTCAGAAAATGAGGCTAGGACATAGTGCGGAATTCTCTATTATATAGTAAACATAAGATTTGCATTTGTACTTTCTGCAATCGGTAAAAGAAACAGTATTACGGTAGATTTTTCATGCGTTCAGACAATAAATTAATTGTACGGAAATATTGTAATGGCTTCGATACAGTTCTTATCTGAAGAGGTGATAACCATCATTCTTGGCTGCAAAAATATAAGTATTGAGGATATTGTGAACTTTAGATGTACGTGCAAGCAGTTCCAGTGGGCAGGCGAATCCGAGAAGTTTTGGCAAAAAAAATATTTGCAGAGGTAACTCCGCTTGTTGAGACCTTAAAAGATTGTGTGTTGATTGATGTAAATTCTATAAAGTTCAGAGAATATTATAAAAATATTACAGTCGTAGTATGTTTATCAAATGTTTTGTGAATGTACACAATATATACTCTTGAGATATTCTCCGAATATTATAAATTTGTATTTGTTCCCCCATGACTTATTGTTTTGAATTAATATTTATAGTTATAAAATAAATATTGTTCATTTTACTTTAATATTTTTTATATTTTTATATACTTTTATGTATTTTGACAGACACATTGATCCAAAAATAAGATCGAAACGTATCCATAAATAAAATATAACTTTTACAAGAAAATATTTACTTATATATACAAATTAGAACGCCAGATTTATTAATTGGCACATTTTTATTCGATTGTTTTAGTTTATTGTTGCTATTTCATTAATTAGTTTTGTAAAGTAATATTTAAAAATATATATCAACGATGTTGTGAATTTTTAACTTGATATCTTTAATAACTTCAAATTGTAGTAAATTATTTTAAATATTTTACTTATTTGTTTAAAAATGATTAATTATTGATTTATAATTATTGAATTTTGCAATTTTAACATTTAGTTGTATATAAACATTCGAAAGACAGATAATAAATTATTCACACAATATAAAAAAGCAATTATAAAAATTTGATTTTGTTATATCATGTTCTTTAAACATGTAAAAATGTTTTTTACCAAGTTTTAAACAATGTAGGTCCTTAAATAATAAAATTGTCAAACGATATATATATTGCTTTGTCAACTGTTTTAGTATATATAATCTAAAATTTTTTGAAGGTTGTGCTTTTGTTGTCATAAGACAAGAAGATTGACATTTTGATCGATACTGTCTACCATATATATTATGCATTTTAAAAGATGTATTATTCCACAACTTTATTAATGATACAATAGCATTGCCTATAATGGGATTTTCAAAACTTTATTAAAATATTTTCTGTTTCAATTTTAGATGGCCTAATGCAAATAAGGACTGGTATAAATTTCTCGAAAAAAGTACAAAAAATGAGCAGGAGAAATCTAAACTAAAACAGCAGTATACAAAATTTTATTTTGTAAAAATGGGAATCCATATTGCACGTTTAATAAAAGAAATTGTGTCTATACTAATTAGTAAACATTTTACTATCAATGATACAATAGATAATTTAATAGGTTTTGAAGAAGTATTCAATGTTAAATGTATGAATACAATAAATAATATTTTTAATATATTTAGAAGTGAATCACGTAATCTCACAATGATTGTTTTTCTCATTGATGAAATTAGAACCTGCCTGACTCAATTTTTACGGTAGATTTTAATATATCAATAATGTTATATATAAAGATTATAGAGACTAATGAACTTTTGCACAGTTAATTTGGAACTTTTTTTTAGAAAAGATTGCGATCTAACCAAAAGATATTGCTTTAAGAAAATGTTTCACTTTCTGAGGCAATGTTTGGTGAATGCAAAGTGGGAAAAATTTAAAAAGAAACCTCACAGCAAGCAACTTATAGAACGGATGGCTACTATTGTGGCCCAATGGCTTCAACCTGAAAAAGAAGTATTATTCTCGTCCATAAAAGCATCATTAAATAATATCAAACAAAAAGTATTGAATCGGCTAAGGAACAAATATCCCGACCATTTAATATTCTCCACGTCCGCCGATAAATTTTTATATTGGGAAAACAACAATATCGACAATAATTATTGGAACAAAGCAGAAGGAATCCAGATCATGGATGCACTTCAGGAATATATATTTCATGACTCTAACTTTCAACAAATGACATCAGAAGACAAAAAATTGAAACACAGTTGTATAGATAATGTAAGTTATTATAGATTAAAATACATAATAATAATGAGCTCTTAATTATTATGCTTATATACATATTTATATGTGCTCGTTATATATCTTAAAAACACACACACTCTCTCTCTCTTTCTCTCTTCTTCCTCTCTCTCTTTCTTTACTTAATTCTCGTAATTTTTTAAATAGGTCGTAGAAAATGACTGTGGTCGAAACGTAATTTACTTAATAATATATCACAGTGTGGCCAGAAGACTTGGTTTACGATGCGATATAAGAAAAAATAATTCAGCACTAATAATATATTGGAAACCCGATTAGTAAGTAATATATATTAATATTAAATTAAGAATTATCTGAATTTTATTATTACACACACGCACATACACCAATGCACAAATATTACATTCTGTTTTTAGTGCCACAAACAGCTTAGAAAATGTAAGGTGTATTAACATAGGTCCTCATCGCTACAATTGTCGTAGCGAATATTCTATAATTCCAATTAATGAGGTTGGTAATTATTTGTATCTAATTAATATTTATTTTGACACTTTTTAATTAATAAATTTGTAATTTTGGCAAAAATACGAGTTATACAAACACACTTTATAAGATGGAGAGAATATACATTTCTCGTTTTTTTCTTTCGTAATCATAGCTTTGTTCTTACGTAATTTTACAATTTTTTTTATTGTTTAGTTACTACTAAAAATCCTAGGTGTATTTGAGGATCCACCCTATTACAATAATACTTTCATGCAAACACCACGTGAAATACGTAATTATAGAGAATTCATTCATAAAAGGAGTAACCAAGAGGTGTGTAAATACTATTCATACCATGTTAATATATATATGTCAATATATATATATATATATATATATATATATATATATATGTAAAATAATATCAATACAAGATTTAAATTCTCTTTCATAACATATACATATAACTGTGCACAAATCATTATTATTTATATTTCTCTATAAACTATATCTATAATTGAATTAACTGTAATTGAACTTGCTCTGAATGTCTATTTATAAATTACTTAAAAGGAAATATTATTTAAAATTTAATATTACATTTTCTAGAGTATAGTTTACTCTGATATAGAAAGACAGATAGATAAAATACCGAAATTTGTGATTGGAATGATCGTAGTACATGAGTGTAAAGGTGAATGTTATGACACTATCGTAGTACATGAGTGTAAAAGTGGATATATATATAATGACACTAATAAAACCAGTACTGCCGGTGTAATAGTCGGATGGTACATTAATAAACACAAAATTACGTTTGTGAAAAATGAAACAATGTATCCTCGTATGCACTTCAACACTTGTTGTAATTTGGGAGATCCAGATGACCTTATACATTACATAATTCTTACGGAAAATAATGAAATGTGTTGCGTAAATGAAGGTATGAATATTATTAAAAGCATATTGATTTTTAATTATTATCTCTGTTCAATATGCCAGCTTATCTCTTTATACATAAAAAATATATATATGTTTTTGTTATTATATTTTTTTTATTATTTTAATTATTTTATTTATTTTAGTCATTATATTTTATTTATGAGATTTATTATTGTTTCATTATTTAATTTTAGTAATCATTAATTTATTTATTAATTGCGTTTTTTTAATTTAGACGCCCTGACTCTGTCATTTGCATGGATCGAAAATAGTGAAATAGGTCGATATTTTAACCAATTCAAATGCACGCATTACGTGCCAAATAAAATGTTGGCAAAACTTTATCCACATGATACCGCTAGAATTGCCACCCGATATGGTAAAAAAATGGCTACTTATAAGCAGCAGTGCATCACTAACAAATAACGATTTGTCGAATCGACGTCGCCTCAACATCGAATCGACCAATTCGTCGTCGATTCAACATCGAATTGACGTCGAATTGACTATCATTCCGCGCTGAGTAATTAGAGCGCGTAAATGTTATAGTAAATTAAAATTATTATAATACAATAGTAATATCAAAAAAAAAAACATTAAGATTTTGGGCATTTTTGCGTAACGAGTTAGTAAATTTTAGAAATTTATATTAGAAATAATATCATAGTTAGAATAAAATTGTTAATTATATAGTTATAAATGTAATTTCATTTATTCATTTATTCAAGCAAACAGTTTTCTCTTACGTTATCCAAGTAGTGTAATGATTTTAAAATGACAAGTATATTTAGATTATTTTTATTATATGTATATTTTCCTTATATTTTTGTAATAAATAAATTTTAATATTTTGTGTAAACAACTTAAGAGTCTCTTTTACACATATATGCACACACAACTACAATTATTATTTAATTTATCATTTTAATATTATAATTTTGTGTAATTCTAATTGTTTTTAAATATATTAACTTTGAAAAAGAAAACTTGTACAATTTTATAAAATATTTTGGAAATTTTTATATATATATTCATATATATTGGATTAAATTTGCTGAAAAATTTTAATTAACTGTTGAAAATTACTTTCAAAATAATTATATAATTATTTGATATGGGCAATGTCCTAATGTTTGATATAACAATGAGACATACATATGTCATCTGCCCATATCTCCTTTATATGTAAGTGTACATCTGACTTAATTAAAATTGAAGATTTTTTTGAATAAGAAAAATTAACTTTTTTTTTAATATTTAAATTACATCGATATCGCTATGCTAAATTTTTAGAGTGTTTAATTTTGAAGTGATTTCTTAGTTTCCAATAAAAATAATTATAAAAATAAATGATACGTGTCATTAAATAATTGAAATAAAATTGTCACTAACAAAATTAAAAAGTGACATATTTTGATCTTTTTAAGGCGAATTTTGATCACTTTTCTACAGATTAGACAAAACTACGAACACATTTACCGTAAGATTATATGTATAACTTATGTCACATTTCTCATTTTACCTATCCATTTTTTTAAAGATCTTGAAAGATTTAAAACGGATATGCATTAGTTTATAATTTATACATGTAATAAATGGTAGTTGACTGAACATCTCGAATATTCAGCTCGATAAGTTGGCCTTATATTTATCACTTTGTTTTCAATACACGAGCGACAATTTGTATTAATTTATTTTTAATATACGCTGGCCTTACAATGCGTCAATTTAACACAAAACGGACTGATTACTATTTTAATTTTAATTTTATTCATAGAGTTTTTGGAAGAATAACCGCAGATTATTTTAAACAATGGATTAATGCGAACTACTTGTTAATAAGAGCGAGAGCAAAATTGGAATTTTTAAGAAATTGTAAAAATAGCGATGTTTTTCCTACACATTTGGAAGGTTTTTGCCGCATTAAATTTAACGTTTTTCATCACAGATCAATCAGAAGACTAGATAGTATGTTGTACAAGTTCAAAACAAATGCGATGAGCATTGAAATTTTTGATTTGCATAGACAGGTAGAGTCATTACAAAATAGGATTTTTCATCTCACTAGCGGGTTATTTAATCGTTTGCCTGTACTCGCGTGGAATAGAATTTTCGAACATCATAACATTGCTTTTAAAAATTGCCACAACAGATTGGTTACTGCACACGAAAAGAAATTCAATTGGCTTAAGAGAAAACAATACTACAAGTATATCAACAGCATCAAACCTATAGATATACATTGTTCTTTACATTTTGAAACTTCACAACCGACGAAAATATCACAAAATTCTCTCAGGGCAATCACTAATGATGCCAAGGAGATCAATATACACATTGAAGCCAATAAATTTCTCAATGATACAATTAACCCTTTGGAAAATACTAATAAAAAATGGTTTGTTAATCTATCCAACACAGACATTCCGCCTAACGTATCTAATCTGTTGCAAATGGGTGATAAATTCTGTCTTCCGAATATTAGTAAAAAAACAGCGATACATGAATTTATCAAGGACATAGAGAGTAATAGCAAACGAAATAATATTAATAATCTCACAACGATCAGAAATATCGCGGTTCCAAAATTTGCACAACTTCTTAACACGAAGGATAAAAATGACGTAAGTCAACAAAAATTACTTGGTGCACACAGAGATTTAATAAAATTTTGTAAAGACAATCCGAATGTTCTATTCACACGCGCGGACAAAGGTAATGCTACGGTCGCGATGGATAGATCTTATTATATTAACAAAATGGAAAACGTTTTAAAAGATGTCAACACTTACACTATTGTTAAAAAAAATCCGTGCAAAAAAATAGAGAACGATTTGAATGGTTTGTTGAAGAGATGGCTTAAGGAAGATTATATTTCAAAAAACGAATATTATAAATTACGTTGTAGTGATTCTCTCCTTCCAAAAGCGTATGGATTACCTAAAATCCATAAGGAAAACTATCCGGTTAGAATCATAGTTTCATCGGTTGATACGGCTCTATACTCGCTGGCTTCGTTTTTACAAAACACCTTACGAACTAGCCTACCCAAAGCGAAAAGTCATATTAATAATAGTTTTGATTTGTACAGCATATTGTCTGGTAAAAAGATTGATGAGAATGATAGGATGTTTTCCTTGGATGTGGTGTCTTTGTTTACGAACGTTCCTCTGGATCTTGCGATTGACGGTATTAACGATAGATGGGATCACATTGGAATAAATACTAAAATACCGAAAAACGAATTTTTGGGGGGTATAAAATTCATACTGACTTCTACATATTTTACATTTGATGACATAATTTATAAACAGACGTTTGGGACCCCTATGGGGTCACCGTTATCACCAATTATTGCATTCACGGTCGAACAAGAGGTTAATCATAGCTTGAATTTCTTAGATTTATCACTTAAAATTATTAATAACAAAATATATAGACTGGTATCAAAAAGAAACCTTCTCAGGAAGGACGTTATCATTTTATTCAAACCACCCATTATGCCACAAAATTGGAATAATATATAACCTTGTAGACAGATGTCTATTGCTATCACATCCACTATTTTTTAATAAAAATTTGGAGTTAATTATTAATATACTCAGAAGCAATGGTTACCCTCTTGATCTGATTTTTAACAAAATTAATCATCGGATAGAACACATCATATCTAAGGGGAGCATTTTAGAGAGACAGGCCAACATAGAAAGAACAAAAAGTATAAGAAATGACTCGGTTAATAAAAAATTCTTTGTCATTCCGTATATAGATAGGGTCTCAGAAATGATTGTTTCCTCGGTGAAAAATAAAAATTGTATGGTAGGGTATAGATGTCTCAACAAACTGGATAATATTATTAAAGCACAGAAAGATAAAACTAAACATCCATGCAATTCGAATGTGGTTTATAAGATCAGTTGCAATAATTGTAATGCATCTTATGTAGGCCAAACAAAGAGGCAATTGCAGACGCGAATAAAAGAACATAAAAATAATATTAGGTTGGACTCAACGAAACATTCAGTAATTTCTGAACACATAATAAATGAACATCATACTTTTAATTGGGACAATGTTAAGATCATGGACAACGAAAATAATTATTATAAAAGACTCATTTCTGAGATGCTACATATCAAGGAACAAAAAAATGGACTAAATTTAAACAAAGATACTGAGTTACTTAGCGAGTCGTATTTTGATATTTTGGATATATTGGCGAACAATAAATAATAATAGGACAAATAGGACATTAACGAGTAAAACATAGATATTAGATCATATATAAACACGCACGCTCTCCGATCAAGTAGAGTTTAAAATGAGCTGTCTTTCTGTATTGTTGTTTGTTAAGTGTCATCCTTAATAACTGTTAATAAGTAGCAAAATTGTCAAGAAGAACGATGATAGGTAAGCATACTACCAATTGTAGGGGATATATATTATAATTTGGACATACGTTGATCGGTAATTTTTTATTAATCGCAGCGCCTACGGTACGGGTTAATTTCTCGCATATTAACGATGAAATCATCCAAGATCTGAACAAAATCAGAGATCATATCGAGGCGAACATTGTTGGACAGGACGGATTGAAACACGCGTTAATTGCTCAAAAACTCTCGATTCTGAATAACTATAATTAAATTTCGATATCATATGAATTGTAAGAATTTATTTTTCAATAATTATACTGAAGAAGACCGCGTGCGGTCGAAACGTTTATAGAATGATTGTAATTTGCGTTAATTTGCGTTAGTTTTAATATAATATAATGACTGTAGTTTATAATTTATACATGTAATAAATGGTAGTTGACTGAACATCTCGAATATTCAGCTCGATAAGTTGGCCTTATATTTATCACTTTGTTTTCAATACACGAGCGACAATTTGTATTAATTTATTTCGGATATGCATTATTTGAAAGACTCTTCAAACATCAAAGTATATAACATTTATATACTATGTTTGCTGGGTGCTTTAAAATCAGATCAGTGGATGATCAAACGAGACATTACGGACACTGACATTTCGAATTTGATCTAACTATTGAAACTTTTAAAGTTTTCGCAAAAAAAATTCTTCTAAAAGAAGACTACTTATAAAAATGTTTACATATTATATAATCACAAATGTTTTGGGTTTTGTATTTATTTTTAAGCTACATATCTTTAAATATATTTTTAAAATTTATTTTCAAACTGAGAAACATTTTTACGAAGCATATACATATACAAGATCTGATCTCAAGTGTAATCGCACGATCCTAAAATGTAAGGATCATACTTTGATCGCAACATTATGTAAAAGATTAGGTATAAAAGAATTAATAAAAAGCAAGCTCAGATTCTTATTTTGGTCTTAAAATTTTGGACGGTAGTGCATATATAATATATTTATTTATTTATTATAGGCATTTGGCGTTATACTGATATGTATATAATATTAGCTTTATCAATTCATTAAATTTTAAATGGACCAATGAGAGAAATAAATAATTTCAAAAACATTTGTGAGTTAGTGCATAAATTTTAAACATTTAAAAATAGAATTGAATAATTAAAGATGTGACTAAAGTTCCTGGAAAGACAAATATTTTGCAATAAAGCATTTTTAAGAAAAATGTGTTAAACAAATGATTACTTGGCTAAAATTATGCATTGAATTATTTCAACTCTGCAATATTTCGTAAAGACTATTTTAAGAAGAGGAGGACTGTGGTGATTGGGGGAATTGCGGGAATGAAGAATTTCCTAATTTCTCCCATTCCTCCATTCTCTCCATTCCCTCCATTCCTTCATTTTCCCCATAAAATTTTTCAACTAAAATTAAATTTTGTTGCATATTGTATTTCTAACTAGAGTCAAAAAGTGTATTCAAAATAATTTAATTATACTTTAATTGATCCCTTTTTCTGTTATAAGTGTTGAATTTGTGTATTAAAAGTTATATTTCTTTGCTGAATTTAATCAAATCAATCAATTTTTCCAAGTTTTATTTGTAATAAATATTTTGATACTTTTCTTGATATCATTAAATAGAATTTTATTTAAAAATTAAATATTTAATTCAATTGAGCATATAATTAACTGTATTTGATAATACATGTTTAAATTTTATATATTGATTTTAATTGCAAAGAATTCTCAACTTTTTAAAAATGAGATACATATAATAAACATATTTCCGATTTATATAATATCTCTAATGATTACCTTTTAACATTATTAAAGTTCATATTTTTATTATATATGTATTAATCAATATACATACAAACTAATTATTTTTTATAAATTTAAAGTGTAAGATAGGCAATAAGAGCCAAATCGCGGATGACAGTGCGTTATCCCAACGAAACTAAAATTTTTCGTTAGAATTAAATACCTGTGCACAAGGCACCAAATTTTACTTAGTCACGGCCAAGATTTAAAATTGGAATAATCTCTACAAGAGATTTAATTCCATACATCTTGGCCGTAACCAACTAAAATTTGATGCCTTGTGCACAAGTATTTGATTCTAACAAAAAAATTTTAGTTTCGTTCGGATAACGCACTGTCATCCGCGATTTGGCTCTTATTGCCTCTCTTACACTTTAAATTTATATTTATATCACAGAGCCTTGTTAAACTCTTAATTATTTTTTAATACAATTTTATATGAATAACCACAATCTACACTTTATTCCTCTCGACCAATAGAGCCAAACGATTAAAAAAGAAAGAAAATTTGGAAAATTTGGAAACTAAGGAATTTGAATCCTATGATTGGAATCTCAGAAATTCCCTTGTTCCTTTTCTTAACATCCCCTGTAAAGAAATAGGCGAGAAAAATTTCTTTACAGGTGATGTTAAGAGAAGGAACAAGGGGAATTTCTGAGATCCCAATCATAGGATTCAAATTTCTTAGTTTCCAAATTTTCCAAATTTTCTTTCTTTCTTAATCGTTTGGCTCTATTGGTCGAGAGGAATGAAGTGTAGATTGTGGTTTAAAAATGAAAGAGCTGACTTAACAATATTCTATATGAATAAGTTTAATATTTTAAGGTAAGATAAAACAAAAACCTACATATATATGTCAGTGATAATATTAAAATTGCATTTGTTTGATCGAATCCGAATTTTCATCAAAATGATAATTTATATAATGATATTGAGATGATAAGACCATAAATGATAAAATGGAAAAATAGAGTTAAAGAAAATATTATTATCGATAATAATATACTTACAAAAGTAATAATTACTTTGTGAAATTTATTGTAGACCTTTATTAAGCTCGATTAATTGCGTGCTTTAATTCTATATTATTTGATTGTTATAAATGTATATAATCACGTAATAGACATATTATGCGCATATGAGCATTACTAGTAGAAACGAATATTTTTTACGACAGATAAGACTAATTATTAAATATTAAGTGAAAAAAAGTTTTTCTTATTATCTTTTTTTTTCGTTTGCTTGAATCGACGAGAAATCTTTTAAAAGAAAAAATTTATTAACAATTTTGAGAAATTTCACAAATCACTATATGTAGAAAAAAGATTTATACAAATAAATATAAATAATTTATACTACTTTGATCAGGCTCGTTTTTATTTTTAATCGACCTAGGAAAGACACACACAGTTCTTACGAAACCATGTTTAAAAACTGTCAATGGCTCCTTTACGTGTCGCGTTTTCTCGGATATCATCCACATAAAATCGACGAACGATTTCGCGTATCCGATGTAAATTTTCACCTGCTATTGATATATTCATTAATTATGTGGGGTTCATATTTTGCTCGAGAATAATTACCAGAGATCCACGCAGCGTGACTGTCAACGTGTTTCCTTCGAGATTATACAACCATATTTACATATGTATATTCTCACGCAATCGAACTTGAAACTTAGAAGCATATGATTATAAGACGAATTGAACTCGTGAGGAATGATAATTCGGCATTTCCGATAACTCTTATTACGAATATCGCCGTTATTGATAATAATTTGAGACTTATTATATTTGTAGAGCGCAAACATCGATTTTGTATTTCTTGATTATTTTCTCGTTTATAAACTCATTCGTCTAAGCCAGAAGGAGATAGTGGATTGACAAAAAATATAAATTAGATATTAATTTCTTTCTTTTTTTTTCTCAAAAATTTTCTCATTGGAATTATGGGTCAGTGTATCGCATAATTCGATAACAGTATTGTGGCAATCTAGTTATTATTTTTCGGGACATTAATTTTTTTTTCAAAAATAGAGAAGGTGGAAATGTATTTAAATAGAGATATATGGAGAGAAAGAAAGACATTCTATTTTTAAAATAATATTTTTGCATACGTCTGGGGTTTAATAAATCTCTGACCAAGGATTGTAAAATATTTTTAGGATTACTTTAAAATTATTAAAAGTAAAAAATATTTAAAAAAATAATATGTATAGTATAGATTTTATTTTTCGGAATACTGCATCTACAATACATACAGAAAATATATATGTATACTATACACAGTATATATATATATTATATATATATATATATATATATATATATATATATATATATATATATACACACACATATTTATATCTAATAAACAGATAATGCGTTTAAAAAAAAGGAAGATTCCAAATTGGAAAAACGGTTTAGCTTTGGTTACCATTGATACATCACATTGTTTTCTACTGTCAGTCTTTTGTTAATTTGTCAGTTTTTTGCACCAAAATGTTTTTTTCAGAGCTATTCTATTTTAGTTAGATTTCCTCATATTTTATGTCATACTATAAGTCTGTGCGGAGTTTCGTATCGTTAACGAATGATTCTGTAGCAGAAAATTGTTCCAATTTGGTATTATCTTCTGATAAATTAAGTCTGTTCTCCCAGTTTCATCGTTGGTTTTCTTTAATAATAATAATCTTCATTTGAGGTTTAGTATGAATATCTAAATAATCATACGTTGTTCTACTTTTCACTGGGGTCCATGTAAATGTAGCTGAAGAAGGTGTTGGATTTCTGCAATAAATGTGTATGTGATTATTATTACGCAATTGTACAATGTCACAATAAATATTCGTAAGAAATATCAAGTTTATGGTACCCCGTTTTAGCAAAATCTGTCCACATCTGCGTTAAGTATTCCATTATTTTATAATCCGGCGTACCATGTGCAAATGGTAATACAGTTTTTTCTTTATGAAGATAAAATAAATAACTCAGTTTCTCGGAGTGAGATGTACCTACAAAATATTGTTATGTAAATTAATCTTGACAATTTTTTTAATACATTACAAGTGCAATATAAAATTTATATTTAAATGTACTCTAAATTTTTCTTAATTAAATTTCTCCAAATTAGCGTGTCTTCTTACAATCATATGTGGAAAAAAATTTCACGTTCACTTCTTTTCTAATTCTAATATTAATTTGATTCTTACATAGGCCTACTTTAATTAACAACACAATACCTGGAAGTGGCTTTTGAAACTATATTTTTATTAAAGGAGAGTTTTTCACTTTCGTACAAAAATTTGTACAAGTAGGTCGATTCGTTAACATTAGAATTCATTTGAGTATCAATTGCTTGCATAATGCCTCTATAGAAATGCTGATCGGCGAAAAAATTTGAAAGATCCAGTATAGTTTTTTCTGACATTGTTTTATTACCAAAATACAATGATCGTAATTTCGATACCGTGACTCCTAGTTGTGGTAATTGACGCAAAACTCTAGAATATATGACTTTGTTGAAATCAGAATTAATTATCTTTAAAATCCTGATTTTTATCCCTAAAACAATTTTAACAATGATTTTAATTTTAATTATATTTTATTTCATTTATTTTAATTTTAATTTTATTTCTTAATTTTTCTAATAATTTTTATTTAGATATTTTAAATAAATATGTAACTCTATTTTACTTTGAAATAAAACGGTTTCATTAATAAATAATTAATACTTTTTTGTACATTTGAAAGTTACATATTGATGAAATCCTGAAACTTATTAGTATTGATTGAATTTATTAGAACATTGTGTGCACATCAAAATATTTTCAAAACATTGTAGATCGCCTTTCTATGAAAATTTTGCATGAACAGTGATTCATGATATACTAATAATAATGTGTAATAATGAAAAACAAAAGCAAATATATACACTTACGGCTGGAAAAATATAAATTTAGGAAACCATTGCCTTTCTGGCTATTATATTCGAATATTATTGGTATTGAAATTCCGTAGCGTAATAATTGGATTTTCTGATAAAAAAGGATTTGATGACTCGGAATCCACGGTTGGTGTAAATGTAAGCAAAATATCTACGGCAATCTGCAAGAACATAATATTATCAATATAAAAAAATTTATTGTACATTTTTCATCGAACATTATTATTGCAATAATCGCAATAGAGCGGCAAAAAGACCTCCGTTTCTGTTCTTATCAATTTTCTTCCATCTATGTTTTTCGGAAATTTTCTAAAGTCGCATTACCATGTTTCTGGGCTAACATCAGATCGTTTTTGAAAGCATTGTCTCGTTCAGTGAAAGCCCAAGGAACAGTCGCGACGCCACTTTGACATATTGCTTTATGAAATAAACCTGTTAAGCACACATTCGCACAATAATATAATTAGCACTCAAAGAAGTTTTACATAATTTTATCATAAGATCTTTGCTTTTTTCTTCTTTGACTCAATATAACACATAAAATTAATGAACGCGCGTGCTTTTAATTTTCAATATATAATTCTCAATTCTCAATTTATAATTAATTTTTTTTACAGAAAGATATTATCAGTTATCTTCCAATTAATTTTCTACGACGTTTTAAAACGTCAATATTATATACTTTGCAATCGAGATTTAAGTTAAAAGGAAAAAAAAATATTTTAATATAAAATTCATTCCGCGGATAGAGAGTTATTAACCCTCAACACACACTGGGGATTATACAAATGTACACGTCTATTATACGGGATTGCTTCGGCGCCGGCAATCTGGCAGAAAGAAATCGAAACTGTACTGAAGAGCATTCCGGGAGTCTCTGTTTTCTTAGACGATATCAAAATTACGGGTCCGAACGACCAAGTGCATCTGGAACGACTTAAGGAAGTACTTACACGTTTATCGAAATTAAATATACAAATTGATAAGGAGAAAAGCGAATTTTTGAAAGAGGGGATACATTATTGCGGTTATTACATTGATAAAAACGGAATTTATAAAGAAAAAAGAAAAATAGAAGCCATTGAGAAAATGCCTCGCCCGAAAAATATAACGGAATTGCGTGCGTTTTTAGGATTAATTAATTATTACAGACGGTTCATTCAAAACTTAAGTGAAATACTTACGCCATTACATACGTTGTTACAAAAGGAAGGCGGCAAAGCTGTGATTTTCAGATGGACACAGAAGTGCGAAGCAGCTTTCTTAGCGGCGAAAAGAGAGTTTACGAGTAATAAAGTTTTGGCGCATTACAATCACAAACACCCATTAATCGTAGTATGTGATGCAAGCATGTACGGCGTAGGAGCGGTCCTTTCGCAAAAGCACCCAGATGGATCAGAGCGAGTAATCCAATATGCTTCGCAATCTTTGTCTCGAACACAGCAGAAGTATGCACAGATCGATAAGGAAGCGTATGCAATTATTTTCGCGATAAAAAAGTTTTATCAGTTTCTATACGGAAATCGTTTTACACTCTACACAGACCACCGTTCACTTACACAAATATTAGCACCCAACAAATCGTTGCCGGTACATAGCGCAATGCGCATGCAACATTACAAAATTTTCTTACAAGCTTGCTTTCAATTACGATATCAAGTATAAAATACGAAATTACATAGTAATGCAGATGGATTGTCACGGTTACCAATTTTAGTCAGAGAACGATTTCGAATACGACGTAGTAGATGAATACGAAATTAATTAATAGAATCCTTTCCAGTCACACATTTACAGAATTAGCAGCGGAAACTGAAAAGATACAGAATTACAAAAGTTATCGCGTACGTTACAATCAGGCAAAGAGCTGAAGCCGAAAGAAAGATTCAATGTTCCACTTGCTGAATTTAGTTGCCAACGTGGCGTGATCTTACGGGACGGTAGAGTTTTAGTGCCGCGGAAATTACGAAAGAAAATTTTGCAAGAGTTGCATGAGGAACACTTTGGCATTATCAAAATGAAGGCAATGGCTAGAAGATATTGTTGGTGGCCGGGTATCGACAATGATTTATAGAGAATGTAGCTAGGAACTGCGAAAATTGTAATTTAATTTCGAAACGATCCGCCAAAAACACAAACACTTACGTGGAAGCCAGCAGAGCGAGCGTTCCAAAGAGTACATATTGATTACGCAGGCCCCTTTATGGGACATTACTGTTTTGTGTTAGTAGACGCGTTTTCAAAGTGGCCAGAGGTGCTCATTACGAAAAATATTACAAGTA